ATATATATGTATATTTTTATCTATTTTGTTGATCTTTTTGTTTTTTGTTTTGTGCGTGCGTGTGAGTGTGCGTGTCCGTGTATGTGTGTGCGTGTCCGTGTATGTGTGTGCGTGTCCGTGTATGTGTGTGCGTGTGCGTATGTGTGCGTGTGCGTGTGTGATTTTGTGACCTGCGAAAGAAAATACATCGTCAACTTGGAAGAAACTTATTAGAGAAAAATTTTGTTCGGTAAGATAGACAACAAATCGTATAATTGGTCTGGAGGACACTAACCAGCTCATGATCTCGTGAGTAGTAGTAGTCAACCAAGCCGCCGCGAGTATGGCTAAGGACGGAGAAGATATTAATTTTGCTGTTCTTGATAAGGACAACCGAACAACGAAGTGTAATGTGAGCACCGATATGATTCCGCCAACACAAGGCCACCCAATGTGAACTTCGTAGTATGCATTTTCTTTGCAAAATGAAACTCCGGACTCCCATTCACACACTTCCTTTTTTTGTTGTTTCAGAACGGTGCCAGTTTATTTTGTGTGGCTGAAGTACATTTCTTGGTTCATGTATGGCTTTGAAGCTCTCATCATCAACCAGTGGAAAGACTATAGTCCTATAAGTATGTTTGGTGTTGTTTATTGTTTCTTTGGAATCTCTAGCAAGCTTCGGCTTCGAAAACACTGAGCCAGAGAAGAATGTAAGGTGTTCTGTAAGCGTTTTATATTCTTGACGAAAGCGTGTCTTGCTTCTAGGTTGTGGTACAAATGCCACCGCTACACCGCCAGTTGTAAACGGTACCGGATCACCTTCAGGGGAAGGAGGATTTTGTATAAGGACCGGTAACGAAGCCATTGCTTTCCTGGGCTTTAAAGAAGTAAGTAAAGAACGGGTGACCTCGTAGACCACGACTTTCAAAGACCTCTATTGGTAGGAAGAATTTATAGGAAACAGATAAGAATGTCATGAAGACATACCTTACGAACACCTGGAAACAAGTAGCAGCCAGTTTAGTGTCTGATTCTCCTTCTGAGTGCCATAACAAATAAATCACGCTAAATTATTGCAATATTAGTTAGATTAAGCACCGCGAAAACGGCGAACGCTGAACGTAGGCTAGCCGTTTGTCGTTTGCCGTTCCGTCCGCGATATTCGTCTGTTTTAAGCTTCCCGACGACACGGCAGAACAAATGTTCTCGGTCGCCATTCACTGCGACTAGAAATAATGGATACAAAGAAGTAATGTATTTTCTGCTTGAATTTGAACTCTATTAGCTTTACAAGCAGTTCATATAGAGGTAAGATGATGAACGAAGCTTAGCTATAAAAGCAAGCGATCAAAATGTAGAAATAGTCGGTAAAAATGGGCTGCAAATACTCATGTTTTCGCGTTTCCAACAAACGGGAAAAATGTCCTCCTCTAGTAGAAACGACGGCCGGCAAACGCGGGAAATGCCAGGTCACTTGACCCTCTGTGCTGTTCGCGGGAAAAAAATACGTGGTGCTTAATCTCTGTATTCCTATATTTCTTACTGCGCAGACACTAATACTGCCGCATGCCATGCATGCCAAAAATATTGCCCTTTTAGCTTGTTATCTTGTTGAAGTAAGTGTTCGATAACTACTTTTCTTCTGGGTATATATTTTTAGGACAATTTGCTGTTCGACGTGTACTGTCTCGTAGCCCTGATGGTTGGCTTCCGTCTAATTTCCTTCTTGTTTTTGCTGAGAAGATCTTACAAACAACAGTGATGGCTCCTGTTTTCTTTTAAACAAGGCTGTGTTGTTTAGCTGATCAATTATTGGTCAGCATTCATCGTCTGGCATGTCACTGTACCTGTGGCATCTCGTTCTACATGACCTGCGGTACGACAGGAGAGCGTACATGCCAATTGAGTTGAACTGTGGTTATTGGTTTTTGCGTCAACGGCGTTGTATTGAGTTAATCAGTTAGGTTTTATAATTTTCTAGCCTTTGGTATGATTTCATATTCATAGTTAAAACCATGATATCAAGTTTAAAATTATATACCAAAAAGGATTTTCATTTTAAACAGTACAGTGTGGTTTTTACATTAAAAACCTTGTTTAACTTTAGCTCATAGTATTATATAGAATAGGGAAAAAACGTGGAATTTAAAGAAACTCAAGATAAAGCTTTTGCCAAGAATAGCGTCGGTGAAATGAAGTGTTACTTACACGATGCAACTTTTGGGAAACATCGCTTAATTTTATATGGTATATGTTACGAAAATTACACAGGTAACTTACTTTAAAATATATCGAAATGAACTTGTCTCTGAACGAAATAACTTGGATATATCAACAAAGTTGAAGTGGTGAATTGGCCACCGTAACGATTACAAAAGCTGACGTTTCGAGCGTTAGCCCTTCGTCGGAGCGAATAGAGGAATTGTGGGTTGTGTGTGCTTTTAAAGGCAGAGAATGGTATTGGTGGGAACATGGCAACGAGAAAAACAAGAATAAATTAGTGGAATGAAAAGCGTTCGTTGATCCCTGTGGAATTTAGACTGCCGGTTTGAAAGATGAGCTTTTGTTCAAGATTTTTACGGCTTTCCGTGCTACCTAAGTGTAAGGAAAGACCGCAGATTGCCATATGTTGCTTAGAATGATTAGGTAAATTAAAATGTCTAGCGACTGGTTTCGATGTGTCCTTGTCATTCCTTTCCACGTCTCGAAGGTGTTCTCGGAATCGGTCACCTAGTCTTCTGCCTGTTTCGCCGATGTATATCTTTTTGCAATAAGTGCAAGTTATGCAATAGATTACATTGGCGGAGGTGCACGTGAAGTGATCGGTGATCTTAATGGATCGTTTAGGTCCCGATATTTTATCAGTGTTGTGAATGAAAGGACACGTTTTGCATCGTGCACGAGCGCATTTAAAAGTGCCTGGTTGGTCATTAGTCTGAAAAGAACTTCTGACCAAAAAATTGCCTATGTTTTTGTCGCGTTTGAATGAAATGAGCGGAGGCTGCGAAAAGATAGTGCTTGTCTCTGGATCGTTTTGAAGTAATTTAAAGTTTTTAAGAATGATGGATTTAACTGAGTGGTTGTGAGGGTGAAACGTGAGAGTGAATGGAATGCGGTCGGAATCTTCCTTATGCGACGTTTGTAGTGCTGAATGTCGATCAATAAGTTGGGCGCGGTGGTAACCCGCTTGAACGACAGAAACAGGGTAACCACGTTTATCGAAAAACTGGCACATTGACTCTGATTTGTGGTGGAAATCAGAGTCATCGCTACATAAACGACGAGGTCTTAGAAACTGACAGAAAGGAATGGAATTCTTAACGTGAGATGGATGCGAAGACGAATATAACAGGTAATTATGCGAGTCTGTAGGTTTGTAATACACACTAGTGCATAAACCGTTACCTTCAATTGAAACTTTGATGTCTAAAAAGGATAAAAAATTGTCAGAAATTTCCCAGGTATATTTCAGAGCCGGGTGAAAAGAATTGACTGCGGTTATGCAGTTAACATATACTTTCACAGAAAATACTCCAATCTGACACAAACGATGCCAAAAGCTGTACACGAGAACAAAACTCCCACTTTACCTTTTGTACATTTAGTAATTCGGTTTCCTATGTTCTCCTTTTGGACACCTGTATTCAGGGTTCAAAAACACTACTTTGGGTTCCCAATTCCGTCGCGCTGCCAATAGCCATACACTGGAGAACAAAACTCCTACTTTACCTTTTGTGCATTTAGTTATTCATTTTCCTCATGTTCTTCTTTTGGTGACCTGTATTCAGGGTTCAATAACACTTGGGTTCCCAATTCCCTCGGGCTGGAATTCTTTCCCACTTCGCCTCCAGGAAACTTCTATGTCCATTGCTTGGCGAATAATAACTTTGGCCTCGTGGTAAATTGTGGGACTGGGGAGGTTTGAAATTTATGGTGTGATTCTAAGGCCGAAGGATCAACAGGCTATTACAAGCTATTACAGGAAAGCGAACGTGAATGCTAAAACAAGGAATGATCTAAAACTACCTACAACCACCTAAAACCACCAAAAATCACCTAAAACCACCTGCAGCCACTTTCAGAATAATATTGTGACAACTTGTGACAATTTGTGACAATTTTGTTGACAAGTTCAATGTAAATGGACACCAGAAATGTCGCATGTCTCGCATGTCATGACCAGGGAAAAACAGGAACAAAATTGTTTACACAGGAGCAGCACCAAGAGCCTCGAGGGTTTTCTAGTAATAGATAGACTACGTTTTCGAGGTCAGGGTTTTCAAAGTGTGCTTTTGTCGACGTCTGTCTGAGGTCAACGGGACACCAAGCAGGACCCCACACTTTGTCACTAGAAGAGAATGGAACGTGAAGGGTAAAAGGGTAGGTGGAAAATGAAAACGGGAGTGCCGAGTGTAGAAAATGTGGAGTGTGGAAAATGCGGAGAGTGGAAAATCGGAGGGTAGAAAATGTATAAAAGAAAATGACATAAACAATTTTCTTCGTGTTTTTCCCTGGTCCTGACTTGGAAGACATGCGAAAACATTTCTGGTGTCCATTTACATTGAAATTTGTGAACAAAATTGTTACAAATTGTCACAATATTATTCTGAAGGTGGTTGTCGGTGGTTGTAGGTGGTTTTAGGTGGTTTTAGGTGGTTTTAGGTGGTTTTAGGTGGTTGTATGTGGTTTTAGGTGGTTTTAGGTGGTTTTAGGTGGTTTTAGGTGGTTGTATGTGGTTTTAGGTGGTTTTAGGTGGTTTTAGGTGGTTTTAGGTGGTTGTATGTGGTTTTAGGTCACTCCTTGTTTTAGTATTCACGGGAAAGCAAAAACTAGGACTAACGGTCGTAGTTGTACTGATGGATGGCGGTGTCATGCGGCGTTTAAACCTAGTGTCTACACAAACCAGACTTACCTCGGCTGTCAATACCCTTATCTGAAGCTAGCAGAGGGTTTATGCGTGACGCGTGATTAGACTTATAAGATGATATGTGATGCGTGAAGTTATAAACGTGACCAACGACTTTTAACTTTCATACGGGAAACCTCAGACTTTCCTTGCACACAAGAAAAGAGGTATGAAGTTTTCCCTTTTATATACGGGATGCATGAATTATTCTAAAAATTCGTGCGTGAGATGGAATCAGGACCCCCTCCCCAATCCAACCACTTTGCTTCCCTCCTCTCTATGGCGGCTGAATATTCAAACAGGGTGTTATTTTTTGAGCCGGGATGGCGGAGGCAAGACCAAATATGAATGCACAAGCTTCAGCTAACAAAGCAGGGGTATGGGGCCATGTGAAGCGGGACAAGTTCCTTTCAGCCGGCCAATGCCCCCTCAACCTCTCCCTCTACGCGATCCGTGTTTGACCCCTGAAGACAAAACTGCCGCACGAAATTTAAAGTAGTATGAAAATGATTTCTCATTATCTGACAATCTTGCAAAGTATTCTTTTGCTAAATGTTGTTTGCGACGAGAGAAGGGAATGTAATTCAATTGCAAAACAGCCTTGAAATGTCGGTTTAACTAATAACTAATAACTAATATCCAATACCGTATTTTATTGCCTGTAATACATGTAATAAATCATGGTCGATTATAGACGGTCATTTGCCGAATGTTTGAGTTGCAATGAAGTGAACCTTTCGATACGCACCAGTGAGACTATATCTTTTGTTACCATTGGGATACAACTGAAATCTTGCTCGACTTTTTTAAGAAAAAATTGTGTGATTCTGCGATGACCTTCTGAGTGGACTTAGGTAACATGATAACGCTGTTGAAAAGTTGGCTTAACACGGGAAGCTCACAGCACTCACCATCTCATCTTCCAGTTCGAAACATGGGTGACAATGGCCGGTCTCGATCGCTTCTTCACGGTAGAAAAGGCTCTAAATCTCGAGGTTATTCGACTTTCGATCCTGGAGGATCAATAGACAGTGGAGTTCTAACCACCGAAGAGCTTGACAGAAATTCTAAGGGGAGGAAACCAAAGACTTCAGCAATTGAAGACGGAAGGGAGAGTGTTTCAGTTTCGTGGGAAAACATCGATGTGTTTGTCGAGCTACCCGGACCTTCTTTCTTGAAACGTTTGTGTTTTAGAACAGGAGACAATGAGAGGCCGGCAACCAAGCAAGTTCTTTTCAATGGTAAGTGACTCGTACCCGGTTAACCCATACCCTCAAATTAATCGCCCTACAGGAGATAGGGTATTCATTAAACACAAGTCAAATGCAGTTTTTCCCAGAGCGATTTTTTCAATTGCGCGCGCTTCATCCATTCAATGAAACTGAGATAAATTGAGCTTGTTTTCTGAAATGTGCCACATCACTGAGGAATTATTAGTAATTTTTTCTTAGCACTGAAGAAAAAGGTACATACGTGACTCGAGCGTTTTATTATCATGAATGTCAAACATGACAAGCTGTCAGTCTGCGCAAAACTTCTTCTGATGAGATTTGAACTTGCAACGTTCCGACTTTCTAAGGTAAACTACAACAACATTCATTGCAGAATAAGGATACTGGCTTAAACAAAGACTTGACCCGTGTCTCTAAGAGGCTTGATTGACTCATTGCAGAATGAACTGTGAAAACACATGCAAGAATCCTCGAGTGGGACAAATTTTTTAATCGGTTTTTTGATCTCTTGGCCACAAATATATGATTTATTCGTAAACACTGTTGCAATACAGCTTTCGTACGCTATCGAGATTAGAAACAGAAAACTCGTCATCTGAGGAATACAATTTGGTATAACGAAAAATCTAAGGAGTAACCAGCATCGGAAAAAATAACGAGATTTGCTTTCGGATTATTTTAAATTAAAGGTCATCACGGAGTAGAAGCTCTGGGGAAAACTGGTATTTTCAACGAAGAGTTTCACCAGAGTTTCACCAGAGTATCACTTCGTTCTTTTTCCGTGTAACTGAGAAGTTGCCCGTTATAGATTTGGTTTGTTTTTTCTAGTAATCCAGTAATTCGTAGAAGTAACTAATTGCTGAGGAAGTTCATACCTTCCATGTCACATCATGTTGAGGATTAATCTTTGAAAGTCAAGGCCAGTGGCGAAAGTGAAAAAAGGAAAGATATATGGATTACCTTAAATTTCTTTTTCTGCGGACTTTTGTTGACTGATTTCAGTTTTGATTGTTTGATTTTGCAGTGAGCGGCATGGTCGAAGCTGGTACTTTGTTAGCTGTTATGGGATCAAGGTGAGAAAAAGATTAACGATTTGGTATTATTATTACATAATTTTATAACGCAACCGGCGCTGCGAACAGGCAAGATGAAGAAAATCCTGTTTTCTGATTGGCTCTCGAGTAAGCAAGCCCTGCCATACACGCGCGCATACTTCCGAAAAAGATTACAATCTACTGCGTCAACTCTGGGAAACCTTTTTATTTGTCAAAAAGCAACAAACGCACAAACAAACAAGCAAACAAAAGAAAAATACAGATCTCCAGCATTTTTAGCGGCAATGCAGTCACAGCAAATGACATGGAGACAGTCAAAGCAACAAAAAGCATTCAGAGTTACTTAAATTGTCTTCGTCAACGCTCTCTTTTGCGTTTTAGGTGCCTTGACGTTAACTTTGATAGTCAAAGTTCCTTAAAACGCAAAAAACAAAAAACAAACAAACAAACCAATAACACAAAAAATATTAAATGATTCAAACTTAGTCCATAACTTAAAATAATTTCGCGAAATTTCATTAGTAAAATATTTCAGTGGGCTTTTTTTTTTTTTCTACAGCGGAGCAGGGAAGTCCACCCTTATGAATGTATTAGCTCATCGTAACATCAGCCAGGTGGAAGTAAGGGGGACTGTGAAAGTCAATGATCGTCCAATCGGAGCCGAGATTAACAGCATGTCTGCTTACATTCAACAAGAGGATATCTTCATTGGATCTCTAACTGTTCGAGAACATTTGACGTTTCAGGTGGACTGTGTCGATTGTTTTTTTACGTGCATGCTTGATTCAATAACTGACTAACTGTTCGACGGAATGACGTCATGTAACTTGCGGTCAAGAGTAAGGTGTGACTGTATGATTTTATGACTTAAAAACTGAGTGGCTGACTTACTGACCAAGGGACCTGGTGTCTAATTCACTCCGGCTCTGACCGAGTGGATGACGAACGAACGGAGAGAAGGCGTGGTATTTTTTGGTGAAAATTACTATTATCATCTTTGACTTTTACCACAACGGAATTCTTTAACCGTCTCTCGGTTAGTTAAATTGGTTTGAGCGCCGGATTATGTTGGGCGGGAGGTCGAGGGTTCGAGTCCCGGCCGGACCAATACTCATGGTCTTAAAATAACTGAGGAGAATTTGCTACCTTTCTATAATATCAAGAAATGGATAGATGTTCTAGTCTTCTCGGATAAGGCCCACCCCGTCTCCTGCAGGGTTGGGGTAGGAGACGTTAATTTCTCACGCACGAGATTACTCTGTGATGGATGTCCTCCCCTGGGGTGTGATTGGTGGGTTTACCGGGCCCGCAGTAATTGGCGCAAGCTGTTGCGGTGTCCCTGCCTGTCGGCGAAGCTAATAAACTAAACTGAGAGAAACGTGAACCAAGGGGGCGAGCGAAGGTCGAAAAGAATTAGAGGGGTCGAGAGAATAGATATCCTCTCGTCTTTCCCTACCCCCCTCCCCCACTGTCTACTCTAACTCTTATAGACAATAGACGATCGCGAGCTGGTAACTTTAACCCGCCCTGATAAGTTAGAAGCCCACAGTCTGGGACGGATAGGACAAAACGGAATGTACTACTGGCTGACTAGTTCTCAGAGGTTTTTTTTTTTTATTCCTCACCCTGTCAAAAAATAACGACAAAGAAATTAATAGATAAGTGATAGGTAAGATAATGATTATGTCGAAGGACTTGCAACATTTCCAGTGATATTATTTGCTCTTGTCGATCTTTTAGGCCTTTTTGCGCATGGGAAAGAACGTTCCTAAAAGGCAGCGGATTGAACGTGTCGAGGAAGTGATACTTCAGGTATGGCGCACCGGAAATGAGAAAGAGTAAACAACTTATTGAAATATTTTTTTTTATGGATCACAGTAAAATCTGTTTCTTCATAGCTTGGACTCACAAAGTGCGCTGACACATACATTGGAATACCAGGACGGCTGCGGGGGATCTCGGGAGGAGAAAAGAAGAGACTTTCATTCGCCTCGGAGGTGGGTATTTTGGCCGAGGGTCCCATAGCGGGGAAAATTACAGCTGTTTTTAATGGCATAAAGCAAATGAATGTATTCCCTCGCTTCCTTTTTATACAATATATCACAGGTTACCCTACACCTTCCTCGCCCTTCAGCATATCACTGGTACCCTTGAGTACTCCTGGGTGAATTGAGTCATTGTGAGCAGAAATTATCTCTTCACAATACAACAGCATAATGATTCAGCTAAGCTTTAACCAGAACCCCATCCCGAGCCCGATCCCAAACCTGATCCCGAACCCGAAGATGTGGAACATCTCAGTTGCATGCTGAAAAGTCATAGCATTTTTTTTAACAGGTCATCACTGACCCGCCATTGCTGTTTGCTGATGAACCAACCTCAGGACTTGATTCATTCCTGGCTCAGAGTTTAGTAACAGCACTGCAGCAGCTTGCAGCTCAGGGAAGGACAATCATCTGCACAATCCATCAACCATCCTCTGATGTATACGCCATGTTTGACAGGTAGTAAATCAGTTTTGTTGTCTTATCTATACCATTTACACAAAAGCACCATTGGAATACTTATAAAAAACTGATATGGGTTAAAAGAAACTGTAAGTTGAATGAAGATCATTAACACAACAGTGACTGACAAAATAAGGTGCCTAAACTAAACAGATTTCGAACTTTTCCAGCTCGAGAAGAAGGATAAATTTTCATTCCTCTGTCGAATAAAAGACACTTCTTCCGGTCTTACGTGACTGCAGCTAGAATTCTATTTTTCCTCGTGTTACTAACGTTTTAAGAGAGTTTTTTTTCGTAAATAAGCGCTTATTTGGATTTAAGTTTTCTACTAGTTATAAACCTTGCACGTTCGTTGTTCCAGTAATGTCAGTTTTTGTATCCTTTGCTATCACTGCTAATAAAGACTTCTACAACATCAGCAGCTAAGTTGGTGACTATTCAAGTGAGGTTGTTTTTTCTTTCGATTAGCATCTTGTTACTGGCAGAAGGAAGAACAGCCTACATGGGTTCTAGAGCTGACGCAATTGAGTACTTTGAACGGCAAGTTTCCTTAAAAGTAAAGAAATTTCCTCAAAAAGATGCATTTTCATCATGATGCCTTTGTCGCCACTGCACTGAATAGTCCTTTTTACAGTTGTGGGCTTGGTGGCCAAGCTTTTGAACAGGAGTGAGGCTAAGGGTGAGCTCGTTATGATACAGATGTTGCTGCTTTTCAAATGCAAATTTCTGTGTTCTCATGCTAACTAGATACAGGTCTCTATCTCAACAGGGTCACCCTTAGCTTCACTCCTGTTCAAAGGCTTGGCCACCAAGCCCACAACTCTAAAAGGGACTATTACCATGATGGTCAAGAGGAAATTACATAAGAGTTTTTTTCTTGAGTAGTGCCGATGGACAATCTCGAGCAGCTAACCTACTGATTTTTCGTACAGATAAACAGATACCTTCAAGCTAAAACGTTTGAGGGACGAAGTTAGTTGGTGTTCATGAATTCTAATTCATCATTATTGCTATTTCTATTTCTGATCCATTAGATAAATTTACGTTCGGTTTAAAGTTTCATGTAGCCGAATATGCACATAACAAACGTGCCAAATTTAAGACTCTTAACGATCAGGTTAGGAGCTCGACATACACTCGATCGCAAAAACTTTGACACTTTAAAAAATGTTCACAAAGAACGATGAGACCTTACGACTGTCTGGGTACACAAATACACAACAGCCACCATTATTACGTGGTAAATGCATGTTATATGAATTAGGACTATCAGAATAAAGGTTTCTCATCAATGATGAGAAAGTGAACCACTGATGATATATCTACACGTACATTTCCCATAAAGCCGTTGAGTCTCACGTTCATTAATCATACTTTTAAGGGGTCAACGTTTTTGCAATAGTCCATTTTACGGTTGCGTGCTTGGTTGTCAAGCCTTTGAACAGGAGTTAGGCTAAGGGTGACCTTGTTATGATACAAACGTTGCTGCTTTTCAATGTAAATTACTTTCATTTTGTTATCGTGCTCACTAGATACTGATCTCTATCACAAGAAGGTCACCTTCAGCCTCACACCTGTTCAAAGGCTTGATAACTGAGTACAAAACTGTAAAATGGCCTATTGAGTGTATCTATCAACCATCACTGTCGAAAACGTGCAAAAGCTAGCGTACTCACGATTTATTTTCTTGGTTCGATTTTTCAATTACACTTCAGTTCACTACGTCTCATTCTAAGCACGTGGAACAGCACCATATATAGGGCGATGAGACACGTGCTGCCTACATGCGGTTTGGTTGCGTAATAGCTTAATAAATGTAACGTACAGTTTCCAACATCACGCATAGAAATCGAGAACGAGTAATCTTGTTGTTTTGGCATATCTTCTAATTAAAACTCAACAACAAGACAGGCTCGAGATATTATTCTGTTTGTTAACAACCATATAATATTTGGTTACTTATTCTGCTCGCTATTCGTAACGGAATAGATGGCGAGTGGAGTAGCCAATCAGATTGCAGCATCTGTGAGAAAACGCTACTAGACTAATCTTAATCAATTAAAGATTATATATCGAGACCATAACTTTTTTCTTTCATTAGTAGCAACAAAACTGTGTTGTTTTATTTCTAAAGTCTGGGTTACCCCTGTCCAGTCAATTTTAATCCCGCTGATCACTTTATTCATACTCTGGCTATCGTGCCTGGTGATGAGGAAAACTGTCACACAAGGGTCAAGGTTAGAAAACAAAAAAAATTTTTTTTTCTACTTTTAAAAGTGAGTCGTGATAAATTTAGGCTAGTTGTTTGAATTTGTACAAAATTCTAAAATGGCGCACCCGCCATTTTGGAATTGCGTCTTCTTTTGCTTCTTCTTTTGCGTCTTCTTTTGTGTATTCTTTTGCGTCTTCTTTTGCGTCTTCTTTTGGCGGTAACATGAGCTAGAACGACTTAAAATCTTATGTTTGATCACTTTATAGTTTTTTCCAATTTTAATTGTTTTTCAGGAAATCTGTGATGCCTACAGGGAGAATAGCACTGACTCTTCAGAAGCCTTAGAAAAACAAGCAAGTGTAACAAAACTGTGCGCGATAATTAAACAAATAGCTAAATGATAAGTTGATTAATGTATAAAAAAAGCAAAGAAACCCGTTAGTATTTTTCAGTCGTCAAACAAACCCTTTCACCCAAGAGTATTTGTTGACCCTTAGAGCCAAAGTCATCACCATAATATATTTTGAGTGTTCAATGCCATCGTACAGTGTTCAAAGACCAAAAACTTTACTAAAGAATACGGGAATGTATTTTTCCTGTCACACATCTATGGCAATACTCTACCAGGCCAATATATTTTACTCAGCATATGACTTATGTTGCTTTATTTGTGACGTAAAATGGCATTTTTTTTCTAGGACTCTTTCAAAGATGACGTTTACACACGTTCACCGTAAGATGTCTTTTTGTGTTTAACCTCATAATGTTCACTGGCATGATTATAGCTCAGTCTTAGACCCGGCATCTTTCCTCACATACGTACCGGTTCGCACGACTTCTGTCTCCACCATTGTAGCACGAGTGGAGCAGCGTAATGGAAGGGTGGGAAAAGGAAAGGAAGGGTGGGAAAAGGAAAGGAAGTGGTTGGGGAGGGAGTAACCCTGGTTGCTCGCAAGCTCTATTTTAATTAACAAGGAATTCAGTAGTAACTCATAATGATAATATAACAACCTTTTTATATTTTCCCACTTACGCCCTTTTGACTTCTCATAACTCAGCTAGAGTATCGTTGCTCATGAAAACTTGAATTCTGTCAGAGCCTAGGTTTTCCCCCTTTCACATGCATTCGCGCTAACGTAGCCTTCGTCGCGTAAAACTTTCTTTTGTGACGAAAACAACAAACGGTCAAAAACGAGATGTAACGTCACAAAAAGCATACTTTGATTATCCAATCTGCTCCAAAATTAATTCTACGCGCTGAACTCAATATTTTTTGGGGCGTGCACGAACAAACTTTTAGGTAATCATTGCTTGAGTCAGAGGTAATCTTCTGCTTTATTTCCAACGCAGGTACAAAGCATCTTGGTGTCAGCAATTTCGCTCTGTATTTTGGAGATCTTGGCTGACCAATAATCGAGATGTCGTGATTTTTAGAATCAGACTTTACCAAAGTATAGTAAGTGACGATTACTCACGAACTGAACCTTACAGGTTAAGTGCATTTAAAGCAATTCCGGGAGATAAGGCCTGAAAATAGAGTTAAGACTTCGTACGTTTTTATATGCAATTGCTTTAATTGCAGTTAACTTACATATGAAGCGAATTGAGTTTTCGCTCCTTCTAAATTTAAGAGCTGGGATTAGATATTCTCAATGTAATCTGAGGAGAAAAAAAAGGACAAATTTTAAAAAGCTGCAAAGTTTTCTTTGTTGCTTTCAAAGCTGGTCCGGGAATCGCTCGGTAACACATCATCCTAGATGCTTGATTACATGACTAATAGTGAACCGAGATGTACTAGGGCAATGATGCCATAAGAAGTTGAGAGCAATTTTACTGACATTATCGGAGGATAAAATAAAATGACTAGCGCATCGTGAAAATTTTTTGTATGCTCTTTCGTTAAGACTTTTGACTAAATAGACTACTGGATAGTTTTTATAATCAATTTAGCTCAAAATGATGGCCCTGTTATATTAATCATTGCACGTGTGTTGTTTCAGAAAAGATAACACAAACATTTACCAAAGAATACTCAGTGTCTTTCAATTTAGTTTCACTGTGAACAATATTTTCTATTATAGTAAATGGAAAGAAAAATTTTATTGGTTAGTGGGTTGGAAGTGATTGGAAAGCTATTTAGAAAACAAATGTGCACGTTCAGTTTAAAGAAAGGTAACAAATAAAAGCATTTAATTGTCGGACTTCACAAACTATTTGGCTTCAATTACGATATGATGATCGTGGACAACAGAGATCATCTTTCAATAGAAATTTAGTATTATCTGCCTTGTATTAGTTTAGTATTATCTGCCTTAACCACCTCCCGGTTAATAGAGCGCTAGACTGTTGCGCGGGAGGTCGAGGGTTCGAGCCCCGGCCGGACCAACACTCAGGGTCTTAAAATAATTGAGAAGAATTTGCTGCCTTTCTATAACATCAAGAAATGGTTAGATATTCTAGTCTTCTCGGATAGGGACGAATAAATGGAGGTCCCGTCTCCTGCAGGGTTGGGGTAGGAGACGTTAATTTCCCACACACGAGATTACTGTGTGATGGATGTCCTCCCCTGGGGTGGGATGGGTGGGAGGGTGGACTAGCACGAATGGTTCCTATGTTCCTTTCTAGTCCTTCCCCACTGCAAAACTTAATGCAGTGAAAATGGACTAAATTAAATTAAATTAAATAAACATCTTCATAATCTGGCTTGAAACATTTCGGTAGGTTTCGTTTCAAGAATTCCCGGTCAGGTAGGAAGCTAAGCTTTTCCATACAATCAAAAATACGATCAATCCAGGTGCCAAATATTTCTGAAACCTCTTGCTGAGAAACGTTAAAACGATTGGCGTGGTCATTCTCTAGTAATCCGAGACGTAATCTCGTGATTGTCAAAAAAATTCATCAAAAAGAGACAGCTTTCGAGGTTTTCCTCTAGATAAGTGTAGGAGGGATCTTTGGATAACTTTTCATATCCTTTGTAGTAACTCAGGGAATAGCCAGGTCTTGGTTTTACAAAATTGAACAAAGCAATAAAGATCTGGTAGTCAGGTAATCCTGTATAAAATCTCATGTCGCGCCAGAAGCCATAACCCTAGTAACTCCAAACCTTTCCACTTCTCTGCGCTCTTCTAGTTCTCTTACACGCTTTGATAAACGGTCGATCTCCTTCTGGCATCCACATTGCCACAGCACCAACCTCTGTGGCACACTCGTTAGTAGCAGCGGTAGTAGAACTGGACTCTACAACTACTGGTACAGTTTCCGAGGAATTTCTCTGGTTCTCCTTGTCATTTGATGTTTTCTCTTCCAGGAGATGAGAGATATCAATTGGCCTCACAATTTCGTTCGATTTTGGGTCAAGACTGGGAAAAATGGCGGGGATATTATGGATCCGTACCTTNCGTTTGTTTTATATTTGACACCTCCGGTATCAAATAGGGGGAGAGTGTCGTGACTGCGAGTTGCGTTACGCAAGTTTCTGTTTTCCGGTGATGACAGCTAGATGTCAAATTCGCCCGTTTTGAACTTTGAGTCCTTAGATATATGAGACGAGTAGTGGGAGTGTGAGAGAGTAGGAGAATTGTGACAGCTAGGCTGAGTGCTGGGCCATTAAAACTGTTAAAATCAAGAAATTGTGAGTTTCTTTGTCGACGAAAACCGATTCCCGACACGGGCCTTTATTTTATAACGTTAAAGAAACCACTATCACGGTTGCACATCCGGGCAATTTTGCCTCGATTCTAAGATAGCCACTCGGAGACAGCGAAGACATTAATTTTTTTTTTTTTACTTCCTCAACTAGCATATTATCTCTTTCTCCCTAATCTTTGTAAGATATGTTATGGTCACCGAAATCCAATTTTCTTTTATATAGTACCTGTTCATTTTCTCTGTAGACTTTCCCGGAAGAGCTTTCTGTGTTTTTACGGGAACACCATAACGGCATGTATCGTTCTGATGTCTACTTCTTGTCCAAGACCACTGCTGAGGTGAGGGAATGAATAAGAAAATTACCCAAATGGAAACTGGAAAGAGACGTAGATTACTTTCAGGATTTTATTATGGGTTGAAAACTTTCCCCACATGTGAGAAAGTGTTTGCGCGATTGTGTTTGGATTAGGAAATGTCCTTATGGGGTTTTTATGCGGTGGGTTCCGTCCAAAAATCTCGGTAAGTATGAAATAAGACGGAATATTCGGCGAAAGCCCCAGCTGAAGCGAGGAAAAAAGCTTTTTTCCCTATAACGCCAATTTATTTTAGTCTCCTGAACGTTATAATATATTAGAGCTTACATGCACTTGATGCTGTTTTTCTTGTTTTGCTTTCGTTGTCGTTTTGTCTTAAGGAGAATGCCGTTGCCGTCTCGGTAAAGGCAAAAAAAAAAAAAAAAGAATTCAATCAGGAAGCCGTACATTAACCGTTCAGTTTATCATCTTATATTATCGAACTGTACTTCGTAGAGTACAAATAATGCCTAAAGCGAGTAGTACTACAAATATCTCGCGGTATTTGTACTCCAGAGAACCGATTAGACAGGTTTTCTCGCATCGCGTAAGCGACAAATTGGATTGAAGTAACGAAAAAAAGATGGCGGACAATTTAAATTATCCTTCTGAAGACGCAGAGTCGGAATGGCTGGCGAATATTGATCCAAGTTTATTGGATGAATCAAAAGAAGAAATCCTCCTTAATATATATCCACGAAATTCGCCCGCACTGAAATGACAATTTGGCGTGTTGGATAATAAATCTCTTACTAAACGTTTTGTGAATGTGTAGTATCGCTGAGTATTTTTACCCGTTGTTTATATTTTGACTCGCCCTATGAGCTCGTCAAAATATTGCACAACTCGTAAAAATACTCAGCGATACTACACATTCACAAAACGTTTAATAAAATATATTTACTTATCAAGTTTTATTTATCCTTAGGTGCCTTTGTTTTTAGTTAATCCTCTCTTCTTAATTTCTATTGCTTACTGGATGATAGGTGAGTTAACCGGGTACATGGGTGAACTAGACAAACGTTCGCCAAACATTTTACAAGTTTCTCTTGTCGCTCGGCCAAATGAGTAAATACCATAACCTAGCATCTCTTTTTTTATTGTTGAAGTTCTTGCTTTGGTTTTACTTTTGTTTTATTTTTCTCAGGTTTGCGTCAACAAATACTCAGGTTTCTCTATGCATACGGAATCTTTGCTTTGATCAGTATGGTGGCTGTATCCTACGGTTTGTGATCACTCATCTGCGCATCATGAAAAAAGAAAAAAAAACTTAGACAATTACAGTAGTAGCCGCATTGCTAATTGCATAACTTTTATGAGGGGCTTCGACAGTTGTCCAACCGGTTTTCGTTTCGGTGGGAAAGGACAAATTTTACTTTTTTAAAGCATCAGTGTTATTCGAAGATTGACGTACAGGGATGCCAACATCTTCAAACATATGGCTCGTAATATCGTTTTTAACAGGTACACTCTTCAACGTTTTCCTCAGTTCCTAGTCCGTTTGAAGAACCTTACATGGAAGAATTATTCTTTCCAAACAGTGCGACATGTGGATACTTCGTCCAAGAATACCAAAAAGGAAAGTGGAGAATTATTTGTTTCACCAGCAACACTATAAACTAACTTTATGTATGTATGTATGTTTCAGGTTACACTGTGTCCACGCTTTCCCCGACAGTAGCGGTGGCCTCAGCTATCAGTGCACCCTTACTTCTTCCTCTGTTGTTACTAGGAGGCTTCTATGTCAAAAACACGTAAGTGGTGATCGAAATTAGAACCTAACTTAGGGAAAGAAGAGTATGCCGTTTTCAAAGAAATCATTCCAAAATAGGATTGGCTTACCCAGCCAATTAGCTGCATGGGACTCCTACTAGACAGGAATCGAAGCCACCGATTTAATCATCGCCGGGTTCCATTCCACCTCGCCTGCAGTTAATTCCACCTTCTTAGGCAAGACATTTTACTCTCACGGTGATTTACTCCGTTCAGGAGTATGAAGCACTGGCTAGAGAAATCTGTCGAATTTGTTTGGCTGTGGAAAGTAGGGGAAGGGGGAGAGTAGTGGCAAAACTTCTAATTGCTTCATGCCATGGGAATAGAATAAGTCCGGGCTGTGAGAACCACTTGGCCCTTGCCAAGTAATCAAGGGTGTACACTGAAGTTGTTATTCTTTCATTTTCTTGCTATGTTGACGTGGAGTTATTTCCTACTTTTCAGGACGATACCAGTATGGCTTTCTTGGTTGCAATACGTATCATGGTTCAACTATGGATTTGAGGCCATGCTTGTCAATCAATGGGATGGTTATGGTGGTAAAAGTAAGTTTTTATACTAGTGTAACTCTAAATTTAAGCGAATAAATTAATGAAAATGAAATTGTCGGGTAACAGTTCTTGCGAAGGGCCAAAAAAGGTGGATCTTATCTCCCATGAAGCGGTTTTCATCGATTTGGTTTCGTATCAACGAGGATCCTGTTTAGTTGTCGCTACCATGATTTTGAAATCCTTTTCTAACCACCTTAATTACTTGCTACTTCTACAGTTTGTTCTGGGAAAAATAAAACAGATTGCATCAGTGGAGACCAAGTTCTTAATGACCTCGGCGTAAACAAGGTTGGTAAAACGTCCACTCAAGTTAAAAAGAAAATAATTCAAATACTGGAAAATTATAGACGAACGATCGACGTTTCGGCCATATCACACGGCCTTCATCAGGAAACTGCCGAGTCAGCCTAAGTCACGCAAGTGTCACGTGATAGCTGACTCGGCACGTGACACTTGCGTGACCTTGGCTGACTCGGCAGTTTCCTGATGAAGGCCGTGTGATATGGCCGAAACGTCGATCGTTCGTCTTTAATTTTCCAGTATTTGAATTATTTTTCTTTTGATCATATTCTCAACTGGATGACTGATACAATTCATAGCCACCATATCCACTCAAGTTATTTCATAGCAGTCATAGATCAAGTCAAATAGCGACCGTTGCAACGCTGCACAGCTTTGATCAACCATATCAAGGCTGGTCCAAAACCCTCCTCTCAAACGCCAGAAGACCTCTATGAAATCGAATTCTTCCATTGAGCCACCAAGTTAAGGAACACTCGAGTAGAAAGCTGTTCAGTAAATTGTACATGAAGTTGTGTAGTTTCGGTCAAAAAAAAAAAATCACTTCTTTTCCCAAAAGCAGGATTTTCGCCACGGGAGAAAACATTTTCATCAGTTCTTCGAATAAAAGGTCCATATCACCTTCCCTGCTCTAGCATTTATGTAAAAGCAACATTTCAAGGAAAATTGAAAAAAAGCTTTTCTTTTTTAAATGGAGCACGCACGCGTGAATGCCAAATCAAATCTTCCTATAGAAATTTTCCGTCAAAGTTTTCGCATATTGTAATTGTTGTCTACCTTTTTCCACAGGATAACGGGCTTATAGACATCTACGCATTGCTGGCACTCACGATAGGGTTCCGTTTCATCGCGTATCTATTTCTATTGAAGAAAGCTTACAAGAAACCCTAATCAACGAAATCAACAAAGGCGTGTATGCTTAACAGAAAAGCCACGTCTTCTTTTACAGACTAAATAAACGATGTTCTTTCACTGAAAGTAAAATATAAAGTAAAGCAAAACAGCCACGTTTGTTAATAAAGTGAAAAGTTCATCAGTTATTTAGTTGAAAAGTCAATAAATAAATAAATAAAGAACTAACACGGTGTTTGAGTTAGTTTATTCAGTGATGATCTGTGTTCTCGAATTTACTTCATAGACAAAGAAGTAATTTCCGTGGGTGCTAGGACTCTGTATGTGCAGTGTACTTACTGAAGCCTATTCTCATATCCACAGTTCGAAGCATACAAAAACGTACAAAATTCTGGGAAATCATCATGAATAGCAGCAACTAAAAGATCTGACTATGATCAGTACAAAAATAAATTTTAATGAAATTTTGCTCGTTCACATTCTTTTCCCCCTTCATTTAGGGTTGCTCAAGGCAAGCTAGCCTGACGAATAAGGCTTAAACGCTTTTCCCGCCATAGGCTGTCTACACATGTAATTTTAGAAATTACGACCTTCTTGTTTAGCTTTCCGACGTAATGCAAAGGACTACCTTCCCTTATTAAGTTCTTTTGTAAGAAGTCCTCAAAAGAAACAGGAACGATATCAAGCGAAACCCGACTATCAACGCCACAAGGGCATAGATATCAATCAGGAAATTGTCCTGTCAAAAAGAAAGAGAAAAAAAAAAGAGTTTTCATAGAGAACATAACCAATACTACATTAGTGATCTCTCACAAATTTGCCTCAAACCCTAAATTGTCTTGCAGCCTGTCTTCTCGTGATTACGTTCAGCGTCTTTGCTACGAAAATTTCCTGAGACACTGCTTACAAATAGTATAACATCAAAAGGATTTATTTCCTCGCAATACTTCAGGAAGATAGTTAGGCCCCTTTGGATAATATTACACGGGTTTCTAAAAGTTCCTGAGCAGCTGATTGGCTTAATTCGTATTCTGACTTCATAATACCCACCTCCTTCAATCCACGCTGCTCTATAGCTATAGATCCATTATACACGCATTTTGTGTACGTCTCATTGGTGGGAATTATTTTACAAGCTAGGAGAAACGAACAAGAAAAAGAGACAAAACAAAGAAAAAAATTAATAAATAATCCCTTGATTTGAGATACAAATAATAGAAATACCAAAAGGAATCATCAAGGTGCAAGCGAGTTCCCGATAATATCAGTTTGTAACATCTGGTATTTTTTTCGCTGAGAATAAGTCATGCGTCTCTTTTTGGTTTTGGAATAAGAACTTCTGGAGTGAGTAAGAGCTCACATAGTGTTTCAATCATAAAATGAGCGAATTTTCTTTTCAAAGAATAGTACATGTATGCTCCAGAAACAATATCATTTTCCTCTCAGCCCCGTTGAAATACATGTGAGTAATTATAAGGTGGACCGTGATTTTGAATTCCAAATAACTTCGGCTAAACTATCCAAGAAAGCGTTAAAAATTCCAGTGCAGACGCTGTTTTTTAAAGTATTACTTCAGAATTCTGCTGCTATCTGACATGACTCTGGCCAGAGCTGAAGCGTCTGCGAAATGAAACGCAGAAGCTGTTTGGTGAAATGCGAGTTTTGCTATTCGTCGTTACCGTTGAATTCTGGGAAGTCATGCTTGTGCGGCCAGGTTACTGCGTTTCTTTCAAAAATGGCGGCGTGCGTTGTCGAACTCTCAGCAAAATACTCTCAGCACATTTAAAGCCAATTTTTGGAAGGATGGGACACTCTTTTGAATCTCAAAAGGCGGTAAGTAGTTAATTTTCATATATATACTTTTTGGTAAAAGAGATAGAAGTCGTACGGTTTCTGAGGCATACTACTCATAGGAATTTTGAAAGCGAGCGGATGATTTGAAGTTATCTAATGGCGCCAGGCAACTTTGCCTTCTAATTGAGGTAGACACTTGACTAATTTACGGTCGAAAACCCTTTTCTCAGGTGAAAAATAATCTGGTTATTTCACGTTCAAGAGAATGTAAAGCAAGTGAGCAGTGTTCAAAACGTACGTGAAGAACTTTTATTCTGCATATGAATCATTTTATCACCGCTACGTCTGCTTTGGCGTCGCCGTCATCAGGGTTTGCATTAGATAACCAAAATTTGATTGTTGCTGCCGACAATGAATATGACCCTCATGGTTCTATCGACTGGTTAGCTATTTTAGTTTTGAACTCAACTTACGGATAGGACCATAATTATCCCACTGATTTACAGCTAGAGCCTCGAATCCATAATTGAACCAGGACAGGTACCTCAACCAAGTCAGCCACTCTGGTATTGTTCTGAAACATAAAACAAATAAACAGATAAATAAATAAATAAATAAATAAAAAAGCAAATGAAAGGGCGGAGTGAATGGACGAACAAAGGACGAATGGATAAATGACCAAAAACAAAATAGAACAATGTTAAACCGGGGAACTTAATTAATTCTCGGTGCTTTGACTGTCCGTATAATTGTCAACATTCGCATCTTTTCGTGCTTTTATCATGTGGTCAAAGTTTGGTAACGCATTGCGACTTTCAATAAACATTAAAAAAAAAAACTCAATGCTCTGCTTTTCGCAATGATCGTTATTCTATTCTAAAAGCACGAACACGCCATATCTTTAGTATCCGTTAAATAATTGATTTTAAAACAAATGGGTTGCTCATTTTTCTATGTTAATATTATAGAATATGTGTCAACTTCGAATTAAAACGAAACGACGTTTTTCAGCCTCATCAAGGCCATCATGACAAATTAATTTAAACAAGAAAACAAAGAGATCGTGATCTCTTGGTTGAACACTTGTGTCTAAGGATGCACTCAGTAATCAAAATGGCAGATTTAACGAAATTTCGTCAAACCGAGTAATGTACATGGATTTGACAAGTTTTGGCGAATTTCAGTCAAATTTGTCAAAGCGAAACCAGCTTGTCGGAATTGACGAGTTTGGTGAATTTTAGTCACACTCATCAAAGCGAAAATCAGCTTGGCCAAATTGACGAATTTTCAGTCATATTCGTCAAAGCAAAATCAGCTCGGCGGATTTCACAATTTTGACGAAACCTCGTCAAATCTTCCATTTTCTTTACTGCATGCATTTCTGGACGTGCAGAATTTCTGGTTTAAGCAAACAACGATCATGCATTAACTGACCGGTTTTCAATGTAGAAACCACCAAGTACTAACAAAGGGAGAATCAAAGGACCACTCAGCGCCGTAGAAACTGACGGTGTTGGTGAAATGGTCGATATGACGTAGGCTGAAATGAAACGGAAAATTGCAGAACGGTGAATTTGCTTTCTGTTGAACACCACTCGAAAACCCTCAACATATACATGTAAAGGGTTCTTGAGTGATCTTCAACACAGATTACATGTGGTGATGATTTTGAAAATATTTGTTAGTGGTTGAACTCCACTGTGTCCATTAAGGACCATCTTATACACTATACTTTGAACTGACGATCACCGGTTGGAAAAATAATGACTTCTTTTATCTTATATCGTTCTTTTTTAGTCGCACTATCTTGTTATTTTGCTATGCATCCAGAAGTTTTTACTGCATATAATAGCAATTATAACAATAATAATAACAACGTTGCGAATCTAGTGAAAATTTTTATTGTATTTGATACAAAAAATATGAAATCGTCTGTGTACAAACCAAAAGAGACAGCAGCCATGCTGACTAAGGCAAGTATTCCATAAGCGACCAGAAAACGGAGAACATCAGGTCTCAGTCCTTAAAATATACAGTATGGGAAGAGAACAAACATTAACAATATATAAAAATACAAATACCTAGTTTTTTTTTCATTTATACTAAGCAAGATAGGATAAACCTCTGTTCACACTAGTGCTTGTGACATAACCTCGACTAAATATAGCACGATCTATGGGCAAAAAAACGGTAAAAACAAAAATTCGCGAGGCTCTTTTTTTCAGCCCCCTTTATTTCTGCTTACCAACCATCCAGTAGCCCACGGTAATCATGATCAGCGGACCAAGGAAGAACTGTGGAGACTGCCAATGCAAGGGATGTCTTAATAAAACACAAAACTCCTCTATTTCTACATCTATTTGTATAAAACTATCGATAAGTGCGTTTGGGATAAATCTGCCTGGGTTACTCACAAATGCTACGAGCTAATTTGCTACGTTACTCGCTAGCTATTCCATAATAGTTAATGAATGAAATGAGTGACACGTTGCATGAATTATTTATATCATCATTCTACAAAGAAGGGCCTGTCTGAATGTTGCACGCATTTGAAATGTGTACGATCCATTCGCGGACTGACGCATAGATGACGTCACCATTATCCATATTTCGGTTATTTCTCTATTCTATAAAACAAGCAGATTCCATGTTGCCATGAGTCTGTACAGTACTAAATCAGAGACGAAGTCAAAATATAGTGGAAACTAAGAGAATAATTTGGCTGCGCCTCGTGTGCCACTTACTGAACAGACGCACGGTAACAGAATCTATTTGTTAAAAGGGCATCTCAAGCTCATAACCAGATGGTTAAATTTAGACGAAAGTTTATCTAAATACCCAAAAAACGTTTTAGTTACACTGAAGACTAAAAACTTGAAAATATTTTGCTTTTTGTTAGTTGTTTTGAATTCCCTCAAGGAATAAGTGCAGCTTTGTAGTAACCGTCAAACGTTTGTAAGTTCTAACGACTTACTTCGGCAAAGGTCTTGGATAGGAAGTAAACGTCTGTGCGATACATACGGTTATTGTGTTCTCGTAAAAATATGGCTTTTTCTATCGGAAAAGTCTACAAATAAATAAATAAATAAGGGTTAAATAAAAGAATGAATCAGAGGAATACATGAGAGAACAAATGGATAAATAAACATACTAACGAATGAATCAATAAATGAATACAGTGGTTTTAAAACTATTAATTATTAATTAATTAATTAATTTTTAACTGATTGATGGCTTCATGATCTGTCGATCACTTGACGAGCTGAACAGAACCAACTTCTAACGACAAAATAAATAACTATTAAAAGGTATCTAACTTTTACCAAACCGACCTTAATAGATGATAGTCTAAACTTACGAAAGTGACTGCCGCGACATTTGAGAAGGAGACAGACGTCACAATGTAGAAAAAAGCGCCGTAAATATTCTGAACACCGTCCTGGTCAATCGTTGTTTGGAAGAAAATAATCCCTGTTACAAGACCTATAAACTTGAAAGACATCGAAAATCATATCTAGACCCGTCAGTAATAGTGAGATCTAGACGGAGTCTCGACAGAAGCCAACAGAATTAGTTTAAAAACTGATGATGTATGTTAGAGATGTAGTGCTGCGTAAGTAATGCAAACGATAATGATGTATGTTAGAGATGTAGTGCTGCGTAAGCAATGCAAACGATAATGATGTATGTTAGAGATGTAGCGCTGCGTAAGTAATGCAACCGATAATGATGTATGTTAGAGATGTAGTGCTGCGTAAGTAATGCAAACGATAATGATGTATGTTAGAGATGTAGCGCTGCGTAAGTAATGCAACCGATAATGATGTATGTTAGAGATGTAGTGCTGCGTAAGTAATGCAAACGATAATGATGTATGTTAGAGATGTAGTGCTGCGTAAGTAATGCAAACGATAATCGACGACTGTCCGGAAAATCGCGAGTTATCAAAGATCTTTGAACGATTTCTTGCTTGGAAAAATATCGTCCAATACATCGCGAAGCTATCGTTCTAACAGTCTCAATAAATCGCGAATGTTAGTTCATCGTTTTCATCTTCTTTGTCGCCCTGGGACCTAACACCAGTGCGTTGTGGATGAGGTAACAAGACGATGTTAAAGATGGTAGGCTGCAAAACGGAATGTCGTGGGCAGGGAACACGCTTGAAGGTGGCAATAGTTCTGACGCTGTCTTTCTTTTTGACAACAAAAATATATATAAATAAAATGAAATCATCAAAGGATTTTTGAACCAAGGCTGATAGTTTCGAAAGNATGTTAGAGATGTAGTGCTGCGTAAGTAATGCAAACGATAATGATGTATGTTAGAGATGTAGTGCTGCGTAAGTAATGCAAACGATAATGATGTATGTTAGAGATGTAGTGCTGCGTAAGCAATGCAAACGATAATGATGTATGTTAGAGATGTAGTGCTGCGTAAGTAATGCAAACGATAATGATGTATGTTAGAGATGTAGTGCTGCGTAAGTAATGCAAACGATAATGATGTATGTTAGAGATGTAGTGCTGTGCAAGTAATGCAAACGATAATGATGTATGTTAGAGATGTAGCGCTGCGTAAGTAATGCAACCGATAATGATGTATGTTAGAGATGTAGTGCTGCGTAAGTAATGCAAACGATAATCGACGACTGTCCGGAAAATCGCGAGTTATCAAAGATCTTTGAACGATTTCTTGCTTGGAAAAATATCGTCCAATACATCGCGAAGCTATCGTTCTAACAGTCTCAATAAATCGCGAATGTTAGTTCATCGTTTTCATCTTCTTTGTCGCCCTGGGACCTAACACCAGTGCGTTGTGGATGAGGTAACAAGACGATGTTAAAGATGGTAGGCTGCAAAACGGAATGTCGTGGGCAGGGAACACGCTTGAAGGTGGCAATAGTTCTGACGCTGTCTTTCTTTTTGACAACAAAAATATATATAAATAAAATGAAATCATCAAAGGATTTTTGAACCAAGGCTGATAGTTTCGAAAGAAACTGTTTGGGGCTGCGTCGGTGGGAGTAACGAAATAATTTGGATATATCAACAAAGTTGAAATGGTAAATTGGCCACCGTAACGATTACAAAAGCTGACGTTTCGAGCGTTAGCCCTTCGTTAGAGCGAATAGAGGAATTGTGGGTTGTGTGTGCTTTTAAAGGCAGAAAAGGGAGCTACTTTATTGGTGGGAACATGGCAACGAGAAAAACATGAATAAATTAGTGGAATGAAAAGCGTTCGTTGATCCCTGTGGGATTTAGACTGCCGGTTTGAAAGATGAGCTTTTGTTGAAGATTTTTACGGCTTTCCGTGCTTTCCGTGAATCAGTTAAGATGTGCTTCCTCGTAGAAGAAAGTAAGTAAACAAATTGATAATTAAATGAATAAGAATTAAGTGTCGTACCCTTGTTGGATCCATGCGATTGCTATGATTTTATGAGTTATATGGTATGGACGGTACAATCGTATCATGGCTAAAGTATTCTTTATTAACAATACAAAACCTAACTCTGAAAAAGAAATGAAAATCTCTAATCACTTACTATGCTCTGGAAGAATCTAATACGAAAAATGAGAACATCTCGCTTATTGGTCAGCCATGATCGCCAGAACACAGAACGGAACTGTCTGTACCAAGAAGCTTTGTATCTGTATAAATGTGAATGAAGAAATTACGTATTTAAAGATACTATTCGTCCCAGAGTACTTTTTTTTTCGGGACAAAGGCGCGTAGAGCCGGGAATCAGAGGTATTTGGGGCAGTTCAGATTGACTACCGACAGCAATCCAGGATTGCATAGAGGAGTTTCCTCGTACTTTGTCCTGCGCGTGGTCCAATATACTCCCGCCACTGTCTCAACCAATCAAATGCCAAACGAAAACCAAAAGCAACGCGGTTACTCGCGTTTTCCCGCGCTTTAGGCGATTGTCTCAATGGCTCTTTTTTATATCCTTCACTGTTCTGATTTTCTGTCTGATTACTTTAGGCTTATAATTAGAACAGTCATGCACTCGAATGGACACGAATGTTTATTGCTTAACAGTATTTAAAAATGGAATTAAGGCCGGGTTCTAGAACATTGAAAGAAGAAGAATCCATACTAGTTCTAGTGCTATCAGGTAGTTAAGTGTCGTCGGTATAAATGGTAACTCTAGCCATACACAAACTGAAATACAGTTATCTCCTTATCATCAATCGAAAAACCAAATAATGATCTTACGATGAACGTGGATTGGCCTCTTCCTTAAAAGAGTCCTACAAGATATAATGAATATTGCCGTAAATGGTTTGAAACATCTATTTATCACTAAGGATTGATCGAGGAAAGTGTAAACCTTGTTTATTCAATAATCACAACTTCCTTTCCCAAGGGGCATAGCTGTGGAGTGGTCCTGGAATGCCTGTGACCTGCCCCCTCTCAGATTATTTTTCCTCTTTACGTCATGAACAAACAAACGTTAAAACTAGAAACGCGGAAAAAATCGTTAATCCAAGAATCCAAACGGCATGCGTCACTCAGTCAGTGGTAATTACTTTGAAAGTTTGGTAGTTACTCGGCTTGTGACACATGTGTGCCCTCCCCCTCCCCACT